ATTGCCTCTGTTTTGTGAGGTGGAAGACTTTGTGGACTGGTGTTGGGTTAATGGATTAATGTTGGACTTGTGGGCTTGGGCAGCATTGGGTTGGGATGTTTTCGTGATGCACATTTTCTTTACATAAAACTCTCTCTTATCCATGAGTTGCTGTGCATTTGTTTCTCCAAAGTACCCAGACTATTACACCTCCTTTCTAGTTCGTGCATGTTGATAATGACTTTCTGCCATTGACATTGTCACCTTTTTGAACCCACAGGAATAACACTATTGCTATGGTGGATTAGGTTTAATATAAATGATGCAAGGAGAATGTTTCTATGAAATATAAATGAGAGAGTTGTGTATTTATTTATTTATTTATTGAAAGGAGCTTTAATACATGTGTGTTGTCAAATGTAAATCAATAAATGTCAACTAAGAACACTTTTGAACCTCAGGAGCATTTGGTTGGATCTGGAAGCATTCTGTTTGTTACATGGAGAGGAGAGGTGTTACTGGGATCTGCTAAACATAATTCCGTGTACAAGACAGCTCAAATAGCAAAGTATTTCCCAGTCTAAAATGCCACTAATGCCTAGGCTAATGCCTGATATACCTTGAGGGTGAGTATTGGGTAGTAAGAAAGAATGTTCCTCTAGCTCTTAAATGCTTCCTCCCCCCACTATCATGATCCCAATTCTACCTTACATATCTGGCTGGATCAGAGAATGTACACAGGTCCAGATAGGAACTGGAAACACAGGGAATTCAGGACAGATGATCCCTTCAGGACCAGTGGTAAGAGTGGCGATATCAGGAGGGTGGAAGGAGGGTGGGGTGGAAAGGGGGAACTGATCACAAGGATCTACATATAACCTGCTCCCTGGGGGATCGACAACAGAAAAGTGGGTGAAGGGAGACGTTGGATGGTGTAAGATATGACAAAATAATAACAATTTACAAATTATCAAGGTTTCATGGAGGAGGAGGGAGCAAGGAAGGAGAGGCAAAATGATGAGCTGATTCCAAGGGTTCAAGTAGAAAGCAAATGTTTTGAGAACGATAATGGCAACATATGTACAAATATGCTTGACACAATGGATGATGTATGGATTGTGAAAAGGGTTGTACAAGCCCCCAATAAAATGATTTTTTTTAAAAGAAAGAAAGAAAGAATGTTCTAGAATCTCCAATCCAACTCCCTCATGTCATAAATAAAGAATCTAAGAGTAAGACAAAAATCTGCATGGACAGCTAAGCAAAAATTGAAAACTATCTCTCTACGCCTTTCCACTGGGGTGATGGAAGTTGTTGCAAACATGGAGGGGGCTGTCTCTCGGTTCCCTAATATAGGTCCATGTATCTGAATGGAGAGTGGAATTACAGATCAACATCACTTGTTCAGTCCATGGGTTGGATGGATTCAGGTGGCACAAGGCAGGATTGTCGTTTTTAGACATGTAAATATTCTAAATCATTCCAGTCCCTGAGTGGCTCAAATGGCTAAGCACCCAATGAGCCTAAACGTTGACAATTCAAACCCACCTAGTGGCGCCTCAAAAGAATGCACTGGTGATATGTATGAAAAATCCTGACGTTCTCCTCTCTGCACATGGCGTCGCCATGAGTCAGGAGAGACAACATTGTGCCGATGCCAGTGATGCGCAGATTCACAGAGAAACATCCTTTCCCACAAACATTTCCAGTCTGGTGGATGAGAGGGCCAATGGGCAAAGTCACTGTTTTGTAACAAATGCTGCGATTGGACAGTCTGCGTGCACATAGAGGAGGTGCATCCGGCGCCGTCTGGAGAGTGAGAAGGCTTTTTCAGAGGAGCTGGCATCTGAATGAGGCTCCCAAGGGAGAGTAGAGGCGACAAATTCTAGAAACTGAGACTTCTAACGTGACACGCTCCCCGTGCCAAGCATAGACAGTGGGTTTGCCACCTGACTAAGTGAGGCTGAGTCAATTTGTATTTGCATTGGCTACTGGTTTCTCATACCAATGCACTTGATAATTGGCACATGGCTACTTTCAGAATTTTACATAGGGTAGATAGACTTTGTATCAGAAGACTTGCCTCTAAGCTTAAGGGTCAAGTGTGTGTATAGAAAGGTAAGTAGCCCTTAGTCAACGGGACTCTCTTCTCGTGAAACTGACCCGGCTGGTTTGGGAAATACTGGAAAGAGTCTCTTTCTCAGGGCCCAGTATTCTTCAGCTGGCCTCACCGGCTCCTGGGCCATTAACGAAGCAGCTCCCCCCTTCTGCAGCTTCAATCACCTGACATTGTAATTGGGAGTGACAGCATGAGCCGGAAATAATGAGAACTGAAATGTCAAACTTAAGGCAAGTTCAGTTTGATAGATGGACAGCGTGCTCACCAGGACTCGGCAGTAACATCTCCCCATCTCTTCTCTCAAGGGCCGCCTAACCATCGGGCCTTAATTCTCCAAGCTGCTCTCTCCGTTTTCCCTCTACCTGCAGGTCACGAGCTAGTGGATGCACTCCTGTATTATATAAACTTCCAACAAATGAAATGAATTCAAACTCCAATTTTTTTCTTTAGTCTCTAAAGGGAAGCACCTTGTGAGACGGCGCTTTCTCCGTACTCAGAGTTGACAGAGATGTATGTTTGGAAGGAAAGGGTGTTTTCAGTTTTATTTATTTATTTATAAGTTTTATTAAAGTTCACCTATTACCCACAGGCTTCGGGCTCCCTGGAAAGAAACAAATATCACGATTGAAGCAGCTAGTTTCCAAGGTGCCAAATTAAAATAGATGAAGAGGTAAGGGGGGGGGGGCATGAAAACATTAAACTAAGACTCCTTCAATCCCAAGTGCATGCTGCTTTTTATTACATTTCACACATGAAATTGACTCCCAACACAATTAGACCTGGGCTACTAGGCAAATCTCCTCAAATTATTCCGACCCCCAGAGCTATTCTTTTGCAATCACTCAAGTAACTGAATAAAAAGGCAACTTTTTCATATAAATTTGTGGTTCGCATCTACATGGTCCAAGTAATTTCTCGCTTTCCCTCTGCCACGGAATAGAGAGTCATGAGCTGTGTTAGCAAGGAAGTCCCCAAGTCCTACTTCCCGACATGGCCATCACCTTTTGTTCCACAATCCATCAGCAATCCATCAGAACCTGGAGCTTACACCAAAAGTTCTTAAACACTGCTGGTCTAATCAGGACTCCATGGTGTATAGTAGACAGCATATACCCTTTAGGGTCTAATGTCTTGAAGGCCTTATGTATGCCATTGTTAACTGCTGTTAGGTGCTGTTGAATTGCTTCCAACGTCATAGCGACTCTGTGCGCAACAGAATGAAACCGATCCAGTCCGGAAACCTCCACTTAACCAAACATGACATCCTTCTCCAGGGACTTGTCCTTGTCTCTGCTGACAATATTTCCAACCCTGGTGTCAAGTTTCTCAAATCATTAAATAAGTCTTATGATTAATTAATTATTATTATATTAAGTTTTAAATAAATTTGATAAAAGATACAACCCTGACTCACATCTTTCCTAATTTTAAATTATTAAATCTTTAATTTATTTAAATTATTAAATTTTAAATATTTAAATCTATTCTAGCAACTGCTTCTTGGTCCATGGACAGGTTCCACATGAGCACAATTAAATGCCAGGGAATCCCCTTTCTTCCTAATGTGATCCATAATTTGGGATAGTCCACATGATCACATGTCTTTGTATTGCTAACAAAACCTAAGTAAACATCTTTTGGTATTCTCTACTTTTAACCAAGAGCCATCTGACAGCAGCAATGATACGCGCTTTCAGGTCAAATGTCGTGGTGGCTTTATGTATGTGGTATCCCTAAACAAACAAACAACAACAAACACCATTGCCTTGGGTCGATTCTTCCATGGTAACCCTGTAAGCTAGAGAGATTGTTCCATAGGATTCTCTTGGCTGTACTCTTCAGAGAAATAGATTACAAGGCCTTTGCTTTGTATGCCTTTGGGTGCCCAGGACACACTGCACCACCCAGTTGCACTGGTTGTGTAGTGGGCTACATTTGCAGTTGCCAACCACAAAGTCAGCTGAGAACCCATCAGTCACTCTGCAGGAAAAAATAGGAAGCAGTCTGCTCCTGTCAAGATTCAAAGACTCCGAAACCCTAGCGGGCAGCTCTCCTCTGTCCCCGGGCACTGGGAGTCAGAGTTCACTTGATGGCGGTGAGCGGAGTTGAATAGACAGTGATGTGCCCAAAATACAAAGATAGTAGCACCTTCTCTGTACTCATGTTCTTAGAACAGCTGTAATATTCTCCATTACACTCCAAAGATGCAGGCCATGGCTCTCTTGCATTGCCGGTCAAAAATGAGCCAGGGAGATCAAAAACTACCTTTCAATAAATTCAGAGGGGAAAGAAATAACCATTCTTCAAAAAAGGTACTTACTGGATTTCAACAGTGCTGCCAGAACTTCAGCGGCTGCCCTGGGGAAAGAGAGAGAAAAGTGGAAAAGTCAATGTTCAATGGTTGTTTTTTGTCAGCCCATGGATCCGGCAGCAAGCACGCTCGCTGCAGCTACCGAACAGCTTCATTATTAACCGGGAAGGAGGCAGTCTATTGATAGTCCCGCTGGTCATCAAAGCAGCATAAATGCAGAAACTGCTCGGGAGCATAGTGTCCGTCTTGCAAATGTGTCTCCGGGGGCCTCTCTGCTGCTAGACATCTCTTCCTTTCCTTCTCTCCTTTTTGTATCTTCCACCTCCCACCAACAGCCTTACACAGAGCCTTAATTTTTCTGTTGTCCATCCTTGCAGGGCTTGTCAGGCTCCTGATTTGCACACATAGGGACTCTGGGAGATTAGGGGATTGGGATGGGCTTTGGAGGCCCAGCTGGCGTGGTAGTGATGTGCAAGCTTCTAGAAACATGCATGCCCTTGGGGATGCCCTGCAAGACACTCACACCTCGGAGTGTGGAGCTGTGTCCTCAAGGCAGAAAATGAGTATGTCAAGGTTTTACCCCAAATGTGTTACTTTCTTCCTTGAAGGAATTTCACAAACTAAGCCGTGGAGAGAAAGAATAAAAACACCTTTTGTCCCATTTCTTAATGACCCTGTAATCTGATTTCTGAGCCTGAAAGGGTCACACAAGGAACTCCTATGAGAGAGGAAAAGGTCAGGGGGCTTGAGAGCCCTATGATGTAACTGATTACAGGAGAGAATTCTTTGTTTTTTGGGAAGAAGACAAAGGTGTTTCATGAACCTAATAGCGGGTGCACGTTGCTGTGTTGTGTGCCACCTAGTTGACTGTGACTCATAACAACCCTGTACGGCGGAATAGAACTTTTCCATAGGGTTTTTTTAAGCCACAATCATGATGGGGCCTGATTGTGAAGTCTTCTCTCCCCCAGAATTGTTGGTGGGCTTGGGCTGGTGGGTTCCAACCCCCGATCTTTCAGTTAGCAGTTGGGTATTCAGCCATTGTCCCACCTGCGCTCCTTAGCTTATCTTCAATGCTTGCAAAACAGTGCTCTGCTGAAACCTACCACCGCCCTAAGGAGGCTGAACCAAAATTATATGAGGAGACTACAAAATGTTCATGAAAAAATTCCATTATCTTCCATTTCCATTACCCCGCAAACTCTTTGAAGCCCAGCAACATGGTGTATAAGCCAAGAATCTGCCAGGGATTCTTCTGTGAGCAGTGAGCCCTCCACTACTGAACCACCATTTCAAGTAGGGCTGCTGACCACAAAGTAAGCTGTTCAAACCCACCAGCTTCTTGGCAGGAGAAATATGTAAAGATACAGTCTCAGAAATCCAATGTAGGGTTACTAAGAATCAGAATCAAGTCAATAGCAGTCAGTTTTTATAAAGGTCACTCATATAGACATAAGCAAATATGGGACCTTGTGTCCAGGAATTTGACTTCCACCTCTCCTTCCTTCCAATCTATTTCTTTTTTCCACCTAGAATCTCAATATATTGTCTACTATTAAGCAATAGAAATAGCAGTAAAAACAAACAAATAGAAATAAAGTAGAAAATGCAACATTGAAGTTCACGGTGTTCCCCATTATCTGCAGGGAATCCCTGCAATAACAAAGGCCGGAAAATCAGGGCCCAGTGCAAACCCACCGCAGGAATGACATCCCAACACTGCAAGACCAGCACAAGTTCAAGGCAGACATAGGGAAAGAACAGCGAGTTCTCATTAACAGACTATTTTAGTTAGCGCTCCCAATCATGGTTTCCTCTAAATTTATTTTCTGTTTGTTCATCCCCACCCATTTTTCATCCACATCACTCAGCAATAGTGCATTTAAGAAGGGAATACATTGATGGCATTGGCGAGGATCCAAGCCAGCATGGAAAAGGCAGGCACTTCAGTGCATAGACCCTGGCTTGGGTGAAGCAAAATGAAAAGCAGTATTCTACAGAAAAGAAGAGCAGTCAAATTAGGTTGGTCTAAAGGAGGTAGTGAGCAAAGATGGAAACTATGGGAACAAGAACAAAATGAGAATATCCCAACCCAAGCAAGTAGCTCAGTTCTAGCCCCCAGGCCAGCTCTACAAGTCTGATTTTGGAAGTCTGTAAATGAGGTGACAGGAGAAAGTTGGGGCTTTCTACTCCCAGTAAGAGTTACAGTCTCAGAAACTCAGAGGGCAGTGCTACCCTGTCCTATCAGGTCACGATGAGTCAACCTCAACTTGATGGCTTTGAGAAGTGAGGTGAAAATCCACTGTGTGAGGGACAGGCTAGTGGTGGTACGGCACATGCCAGTTAGGAAGGCGAGAAGTAATAAGAGCTCCGATTAACCGGACAGTGTAATATAAGATACAATAATAATTTATAAATTATTAAGGGTGCATGGGGGAGAGGGGAGGAGAAAGGGAAGGGGAGTGGGGAAAAAAGGAAAATGAGCTGATTCCGGGAACCCAAGAGGCAAGCGAATTTTGGGAATAATGAGGGCAACAAATGTATAGATGTGTTTTATACAATTGATCTATGTATTGTGATGAATTGTATGAGCCCCAATAAATTGATTTAAAAAAATAATAATAATAATAATGACATGGAAAATTTTAGAGCTCCACTCGCCAAAATGTGTACCTCTGACTGGAAGCATCAGCATTTCCCAAGACTTGGATAGAAATGCAGAATCCCTAGTCATATCTCTATCCTACTGAGCCAGCATCTTTATTGTAACAAGATTCCCAGGTATTTCATATGCGCATTAAAATTTGAAATCACAGATAGTGTACAGCATCAAGATTGCTGAGTTACTGGTTGGATGTTGAAAGGAAGATTCACCGTGATCCTCAGACCTCATCCCTCTAGTAAGTACCTACTAACATGATAGCAAAGGAAATGTGAGCCAAAAAAGTGCTGTTATATGACATACATATAGTGTCCCATTAGTCAAAGAGGTCAGAGTGATTTTGGAGTGATGGGGAAAGATTTATTTCTTTACAGGTAACAATGGGGAATCAAAGTATAATCCAGTTTGGGGAGTCAGAGCAATGATGTAGATAAGATTTGAGACCACAGTCAAATATTCTAAAGAGATCAAATTCATTATATAGGTAATAAAAAGCCATTCATTTTGTTTGGTTGGTTTCTGGTTTGTTGTTTTGTTTTATCAAGAGGGTCTGCTAGCAAGCCTGCAAACATGAGAGGAAGGTTTTTGAGGAATATATTAAATGCTATGAGATGCTAGTTCCAGAGGACAAAGGAAAAGAAAGTGCAATAGCATTGAAATATTTAGCCTAGTCAATGGGAGAACAGAAAAGCCATTAAGTAAAGGGAAATTGAGGTGTTTGAAGGAGACAATATTTTTGATTTGCAGCTTGAGATATATAGAGCTTGAGAGAATGGGGGTGGGGACTAGGTGGAACTGTTCAAAATGCTACTGAAATCACAGGATTCCGGAGAACATGTATGAAACTCCACATAGAGTTAGAGATGAATATTTATGAATTGCTGTGGTGGTGCTTAGCTTCTATCACGTCTGCTATGACTCGTGGCTACCCCACATCCAACAGGAAAAAAAATCCTGGTTCGGAGCTTTCTTCGTCATCATTATTAGTTTGTTCAGGGGAATACCTAGAATCACTATGGGTTTTGAGTAGCTTCCAGTTTACCGGGCTCATTTTCTACCACTATCTATTGGACAATATTTGGTTGTGACAGAGTTTCCATTGGTTACTTTTCTGAAGGAGATTACCAAGCGTTTATTCCTACGATGTCTTAGTCTGGAGGTTATGCTGAGAGCTATCCACCAGGATGACTCTGACGGTATTTGAAATACAGTTAACAAGGCTTCCGGCATCTTATGTTGTCGGTAGGTGCCATCAAGGCCGTTCCCACCCATAGCGACCTCTGCACAACAAAAGGAAACCCTGCCTGGTCCTCTGCCATCCTCACAGTCGTTCCTGTAATTGAGCCCATTGCTGCGGCCAATGTCAAGTCGTCTCCGTGAGGGCCTTCCTCTTTCTCATTGTCCTTCTACTGTAGCAAACACGATGTCTTTCTCCAGGGACTGGGCTCTTCCTAACATGTCACATGTATTTGCATTCCTTGCCTCTACAGAGCACCCTGGCTCCACTTCTTCCACGACAGATTGGTTTGTCATGTTGCTGTCAGTGGTACTTAAAATAGTCTTCACTAGCATAATTCAAACGCATTGATTCTCCTTTTGTCTTCTTTATTCAATGTCCAGATTTTATATGCACATAAGGCAATTGGCATGACTTGGGTCAGATGCATCTTAATCCTCAAAGTAACATCCTTGCCTTTCAATACTCTCAAGAGGTCTGGTACAGCAGCTTTTCCTAATGCAACATTGGCATCTTTTGAGCTCTTGAGGGCTGCCTCCTTGAGCATGGATTGTGGATCCAAGCAAGACAAAAATCCTTGACAGTTTCAACTTTGCCCAACCTGCAGCCTTCAGTATGGAGTACAACCTTATGAAACAAGGACCAAAATCTTCACAACTGGACCAACGGTACCATCATGCTAAACGGAGACAAGGTTGAAATTTCCCAGTGCCATAGCAGCATGCAAATTACCCCCGTGATACAGTCAGAGCAAAGCTGGGAAGCATCACTCCCATAGTGATCACCGTTGTAGCCATAAGAACAGGTGTGATACGTGAGGACATTTATTCAAGAGAAGAATGAAGAGCTGGTCATTGAAAGAACTACTCTAGACAGCAGCAAAAGAAAACAAACCTGACTGCTCTGTACTCAATTCTGACTTTTAGCAACCCAGAGTAGACAGAGTAGAACTGGCCCCATCAGTTACCAAAGCTGTGAATCTTTGCAGGAGCAGAAATCCTCAGCTTTCCTCTGTGGAACAGCTGGTGGCTTTGAACTGCTGATCTTGTGGTTACCAGCCTAACACAGGAAACTTGTGACCATAAAGGCTCCTACTTTAGAGGAAAAGAAATCACTAGATTAGTAAGAGAATGTGCAGTCAAGGAAGG